ACATCTGCTGCAAGTTGTTGTATTCTCTTGGACACTATTGGCTGAATAACATCCGCCTTGCTCTTCTTAATCTGAAAACATTAACAAATACTATTATCATCATGTATACTGTATCTAAATTAGAACAAAAAAAAAAAAATAACAACCGATAACTCACGATATCTGTCAACGATTTGAACGTATTCAGTTTCTCTGAATTCAGATTCAATACTAATCGTGGTTCCACGTTCAATCAGCATAGCGACTGATGTATGTTCGTAAGCACCTTGGAGTCTGAGATTTTCAGACGAGTTGTTGTAAAGATCAAGAAGCATTGTGAAAACAATCCAAAGCTACAAGGGAGCCTGTTGCGATTTAATTGGGGGAGAAAGAGGAGGTGGGGGAGAAAAGCTTGAAATTTAGTATGTTGTATACACGATTGATCGCACATTATTTACAAAACCCCATCTCAATAAATCCACACTTAATAAAAACCCTTCGAATATCAAACATACAAAGTTGCACGGCTCTATCATATTCTTCCATTTCGACGCCCGCTGTAGCCGTGCGAATAATAACGTTCGCATATGGTTTATACAGCTCTTCTTCTAATCTCTTAACCTCGTCCGATGACAATTTCTGCAAGAATGGTCTATAAACGTGGATGCGTGCGTTTGTTGATAATGAAGGACCGTTGCGACCAGGTACACCAAGAAGGGGAAGAAAAAACGGTGAACGTGGACCACCAAAGTATATGTGAAGGTCTGCTGTATGGATGAGGAGAACGTGTTGTGGATTAAATGTAATAAGCCAACTGTCTTTATTCATGTGACTGACCTTCTGATGATGCTTGAACTGCTTTCTTCTGCCAGTCCAAATGGCTATCGATCAAGGGCTGCAGTATCTCTGTGCGTACTTGGTATCTTCAACATATAGCACAGTATGTTTATTACGTGAATGTAAATGTCATGGCCAACTCCAGGATGCAGAAAGTGAATTAAAAGTCTTGCAAAACTTTTTCTTTCCGACCATGATTCAAGTGAACTTTTAGAGATTTGAAAATAATAATAGTGTATAGTTATTAGGGGGTGAACAGAAAATAATGGTAGTTTGCAAAGGACAATAACACCATAGTTTCTTTACCTTCATCGGAAGCACGGACGGCCAACCTGAGATACATTCAAACACTGAAGAAAGATACTCATCTCTCAAGAGATTTTCTAATCTTCGGGAGAAATTCTCTTCTCCGCGTATCTTTTCAACGAGAAAACAATATTGTTAGCACAATCACAGCGTGCATAATGAGTCATTGCAATCCATATTTACCCGTGACAGAGTATCGAAACCTTGATATCCAAAGATCATAGACTGTATCTCGATATAATAATTGATATAGCCTTCAGAAAAAAAGAACAGATAAATCTCCACCCAATTCGATCAAGTAAAAAAGAAGAAAGTTTCATCATTATCCTTACTTCAATACTGTTGCAATTTTCTATTGGGGGGTGCACAATTGGAATGATTAAGATTATTCAACACGCTCTTCCAAGCATTTCATTCTGAACTCTGGCGATATGTCTGCACTTATTCAAACAATTCATCCGTTTCTGAAACAAATTTAACTTTTAGCACAATGTCCTTGAATGATAAATTAAACCAGTGCGTGTGTGTAATATTCTACCACGTACATGTTCCTGATAAAAGTCGCCCATAGGAAATTAGGAGCCTCCATCCGTGCTTCGTGTACTTCTGGTATTTGCTCACACGCCATAAGTAATATGCCATAGTATTTGGGCAATGTTTTTGGTTATACAATATATTTTATCGTGAATGGTTTGTACTTGAGTGCACAGAAGGGTTGGTGTGAATACAAATGTAAAAAATTGACAAAGATGGATTAAGAAACCGAGAATATTTACCTGACGTAATACATAAACAGACTCTCGAGTATAGGTGAGTTGAGAAATATTGGTTGGCATCCTTCGCATACTTTGTGCCAGAATATAATTAATTCCTGGAAAAATTTCGGTTGAGTAAAAATGGTGTTGAATTTTTTGATATTGTTTCTTCCTAAATCAACTAGTATTAAAATTTACCTTTTCGCAAAATCCAAGGCACGATAGCAAGAGACGAATCGATCAAAGTACCGAGTAAACTGGTAAAACAATTTAAAAGATCCTTTAAGGAGCAGGAATGGGCGAATGCTTTGATATTAATAGGATCATTACACACCATTAACACTTTGTCAAAACTCTAAAGTAACTACTTAATCGCCATCCGCATGCTTCTAATTCGAGCGATACAATACGCTCATTAATATTATAAAATGCATGCAAATGTCACACAGTTTTCCACCCCATGAAATACATACCCTTCCTACGCGAAATGGATCTCCAACAAGCCTCAGCGCTCTCCA